TCCAAAAAGCACTGTCAAAAAAGGACACCTCATCCTTCCAACCCGGCAACTTGCGACTAAGAGAGACAGCTAGATGATACCCCGACCTGACACTATACTCCCCATCATTCTCCCGCGACCACACAAGCTTATCCCTCACTGGCTGCACCGGCAATGGGATGGAGCAGATTCTAGTAACAACTTCCGCCGGGAAACACTGTTGCAGGCACTCTAAACACCATCGCCCCCTTCCCGGGATCATTAAAGACTGCACCGTCGCAGCCTCCAAACTAGGTGCAGAGGATCGACAAACAAGCTCCTCCGGCCTCCACCCCGGAACCCAATTGTCCCCTAGCACCTGCACTGTAGCCCCATCACCTATCTGCCAAACCAACCCTTGCTTCAATAAATCCCTCCCATGCAATATGCTAGTCCACCCCCACGAAGGCCTCGACCCTCGACGCGCTTGAAGAATAGCCGATTTGTCAAAGTACTTGCCCTTCATGACCCGAGCCAAGAGAGTCCCCGGCTCTTGTCCGATTCGCCAAGCAACCTTCGCCAACAGGGCTTGGTTAAAGCTTTCAAAAAGTCGAAATCCAAGGCCACCATCAAACTTACTCCTGCAGAGGTTCCTCCAAGACACCCAATGAGCCTTATCCTTGTCCGCCGAATATCCCCACCAAAATCTAGCCATGTGTTTATCCAACTTACGGCAAAGCGACACCGGCAAGAGGAAACACGACATAACATAGATAGGCAGTGCAGCCGCAACTGCTTTCAAAAGCACCTCCTTTGCTGCCCAAGACAATTGCTTCTGCTTCCAACCTTGGAGCTTTGCAAGCAGCCGCTCCTCCAGATATCGAAAGGTCTCCATTTTAGATCGCTGAACCAAAGAAGGAAGTCCCAGGTATTTATCCTGTACTCCTATGGCCCCGACACCAAGGATTGCCGCCATTTCATCAACATCACTGGGATCAATATTACGACTAAAACAAATAGCCGATTTACTCAAGCTAACTTTCTGGCCACTCAACTCCTGGTAGTCGCCCAATAACTGAACCAATGTCTCACACTCCTGTTTTGACGCCCTCGGAAACAGGTAAGAGTCATCAGCAAAAAATAAATGGGAAATGCTCGGACATCTCGGATTAACTTCAACAACTGCTAATCTCTTCTCCTCCACTGCCTGTCGCAACAATGCCGCAAATCCTTCAGAGCAGATAGCAAATAACAGAGGGGACAACGGATCCCCTTGCCGCAGTCCTCTCGTCGAGCTAAAATAACCTACCGGCGTGCCATTCATCATCACAGAAAATGTCGCAGTTGACACGCACTCCCGAATCCAACCAATCCATTGGTCATGGAAACCCATCTTAGTCATAATTGCGAATAAGAAATACCACTCTACTCTATCATAGGCCTTTTCCATGTCGACCTTCAGAGCTAGATAGCCTTTCTTACCTCGCTTCTTAATCTTCAGATAGTGCATGACCTCATGTCCTATAAGAACATTGTCCACAATCTGGCGGCCCCGAATAAACCCATTCTGCTCAGGTGAGATAATGGAGGGCAAAATAACAGCCATCCGCTCCGCCATGATTTTAGAAATAATCTTATAAAACAATTGACACAGGCTAATCGGCCGGATTTGCTTCATAGTCTCTACCGCATCCACCTTTGGGATCAGAGTTAGCCAGGTGTGATTGAAATTTTTTAATAATCGCCCTGACCGGAAAAAGGAGCGAACCGCGTCCACCACCTCCATCCCAATAATGTCCCAGTACGCCTGATAAAATTTCCCAGTAAACCCATCCGATCCCGGAGATTGAGTCGCCCCGATCGAAAAAAACTGCTCGTCGAATCTCATTCGCCATGACATCCGCAGTCAATGCCCCATTCATCTCATCCGAAACCCTCCCGTGGACCTGCAGGCTAGCCACCTTCGCCTCCCAATCTGACGATTGCCTCTTCGACGTGAAGAGTTCCGAATAGAACTCCCCTGCCACCGCACCCTTCTGCGTTTCATCAGTCACCCAGTCACCATGTTTATCCCGTAGACCTTCTATGAAATTACGTCTACGACGTGTTCTCATGACAGTATGAAAATAAGAAGAATTCTGATCTCCTTTCTCCAACCACCTGACCCGCGATTTTTGCCTCCAAAATTCCTCCTCCAAAGCCCATTGTTTAGAAAGGTCCCTCTCTAATTCACCAATACGATCCCAATCTATGCCATCCCCTTCCTTCGAGGCCTCAATCTCCGTCTGTAAGATCCGAATATTCCTTGCTGAATTATTCGTACTTGCTCGGCTCCAGTCAAAGAGTAGATGGCGGAGGGCTTTGAGCCGCTGCCAAAGACGGTACATCGGAGTTCTAGTATAAGTTTGTTGCCAAACATAACTGACCAACAGTCTTGTTTCCGGATTTTCAACCCACCGAGAATCAAACCGAAATAACTGTTTGGAAACTCTTGTAAAGGGTTTATCCGCGACTACCAACGCCCTGTGATTGGACCCCAGGTCAGTGCAACGTTTGACTAACGTCTGCGGAAATTTATTCGCCCACAGCGGCGATACCAGGACTCGATCCAGTCGTTCCATAACACATGCCGCACCCATTCGCCTGTTAGACCAGGTGAACTGCGGACCCATAAAACCCGCATCCTGTAATGCAAGAACATCAACAAACTCTCGAACACTCGCCCCCTTATTAGGATCCCATGGTAGCCCGCCAACCTTCTCACCAGCTCCCATAGTACAATTTAAATCTCCACAAACTAAGTAAGGAACAGACAAACGAGAGCAATAATCTCCAAGCATTTCAACCTGCTGGGTTCGCATACCCCATATCAGAAGAAAGATAAACACACACACAAATATACTCAAAAAGATCATTATTATTCCCAACACCAAAAGACAAAAAAAAAGGAGTCATGCTCCAAAACCGTCAAAGAAACATCAACATCCCAAGCTAAAGCAAGGCCGCCTGCCGCATCAATAGCATCAACAAGAAAAAAATTCTGAAATCCTAATCCCCGCATCCGTCGGGACACTACGCGCCTACACGATTTCGTTTTCGAAAGAAAAACGATATCTGGCTTATTTGACCGACAAAGATCGAGCAACGATTGAAACGTTAGAGACGGTCCAATACCTCTAACGTTCCAAGCGATCATCTTCATTTATTCACTTGGGACCATGGCTGGTTTCCTCCACCTCTATTGGTAAACATTTCTTCTTGACTGGAGTCGGGTCAAACTGCAAAAAAATATATAAATGACTCCCTCCCATTTTCTTTCTCATTTCCTTTTAGAATTTTAAGTTTTAATTAACCAATTTAAAGGAAAACCGGAATAGAGGGGTGTGGCATGATGGGTCATGGGAGCAGTGAGAATATATATTGTTTTTTTAGGCTAGGATATATATTGTTATTAATTATTATTACATCTAAATCTAAATTGGCATTTTCCCATTTTTATGAATATTTTGAACCAAAGGCATTTCAATTCACATGTTTGTGGTTATTCATATAAGAAGTAATACATGTTAGAAAATAAACATTCAAGTTTAAATTTTTATTTCCCAAACAGGAGGATATTTCATTGAAAAGCTAAATTCATGATTTAATCTGTACAACCTAATCAATTTTTACCATCAAACAATAGTTTTGGGTTAATACACATAAGCATGTCAACTATCATCAAGTGAGTGAGTATGATGATGTGTTTACAAATACAACTAATCCTGCGGGAGTGGAACAAATTAAACTATTTTAATGCTACTAATGGAAAGAATAGTTTACAACTATAAGTTACATGAGAAAGAGTATGAATATGAAATATACTAATTTTCGCACAATTTTAAATAACACATTCACAAAAAAGTTCTAGAATGACAACACTAAAACAATTGAAATGTCATATTAAAATTAATTAGTGTTAAGGAAAAATGAAACTCACCCGCCCAATGGGCGGGCTCAAAACTAGTAGTATTTATATTTGTTCATGCGTGGATCTAAGTGAGGTACATGCATGTATAGATGTACTTAGAGGTGGCAAATAGATTGATCCATGGATTGGTGGATTGGATTGGTGGAACCATGGATCAAATGGATTGGATCCAATGGGTTGGTTGATTCATGGATTGGATCAAGTGGATTGATGGATTATCCATGAATCCAAATGATATCCTCAACCTTGGACTAATATGTAATATGTGAAAAGTTTAGGTACTAAAATGTCATTATGAAAAATTTTAGGTACCAAAATGTAAATTTTCAATGATATTTTTCGTATAAAAAATTAAATTTTGGGTACCAAATATAAAATATAAAAAGTATAGATACCAAATTGTAATTTGCCATTTGGATCAAATGGATTGGATTAGGTGGATATTTTTAATGGATTAGTGGATTAGATTGAAAATTGTCACCTCTAGATGTACTTATATAGTTGTATCAGACACCCACTATAAATGTAAAGCTGATACTACGAACAAACCTTTCCAAATCGACCATTTAATATACATGATGATCATATACCGCTTTCTCCATCGCGGAATGGCAAGGCGCGGCGTTATGCTACCGCGGAGCGCCTAGTCGCTATTAATCGAGCGATGAAATGCGCTTGTTATAACCTTTCCTATAAATCAAAAGCATCAAAACTTGAAGCACCAAATTCCCCTCTTTTTTTTCCTCAAAAAGTTGAAAACATCAAAAATTTTCACTTCTTTCTATTCCTATAAACTAAAGCAGGGGCGGACCTAGGGAGGATTGGGTGTGTCCCCGGACACCCCTAAAATCTCGGAGAAAATTTATCGAATCCCCGGTAGTAGTTTGATCGAATCCCCGGTAGTAGTTTGAGCCTAGGAAAAAAAAAGAATAAAAATAATGGCTTATGGGATTTGAACCTAGGACACCCTAGTTAGAAGCTAACATGTTTTCCATCACACTACAACTCATATCTTGCTATAATTTTAAGATACGGATAGTTATAAACATATTAATTTTATCCACAATTTGACAACAAAACCATAGAACTAAACACGACTCACATTCATCTTTGCAAAAAATAGACTTTGCGGCTGCTTCCATCATGCTTCAATGTCACGCCGCTGAGCCACGATCCGGCCTCGCCCTCCTCCGCCGGCCTCGCCCTCCGTCGGCCAGTCGGCCTCATCCTTGTTCGTCGGCCTCCTCTGTCTGTTGAGTCCTCCTCCATTTCAGCCGCTGGTCGCTGCAACTTCCCCTGACGGTAAGCTTGAACTTGCTGCCATGATTCATGGATGATCTTGGAATTAAGAACTAGTGGGAGTAGACAAGCTGTTGCTGAGCGATGTGAGCAAGCCTTGGAACTTGTAAACCATGATAATTATCCAGTTAGTTCAAAGATCAGCTTTACAATCTCGCTCAGAAGCTTTTACAAGTTTGTCTGACCAAAGTAAAACATTAGGAATTGAAGAGAACAGAACTAACCCCTGCTTTTCGACATACAAGTATATAACAATTGATGATTCATGGTTTTACAAAGACAGTAGCAATACAAGTATACAAAGATTAGGATCGCCTTTTCAATTATTAATTCCAATTGTTAAGCAGCAGTTTTACAGTGGGGAAGCATAATTTTGGGTGGGGAATTCCAATCTAATTTGGGGAAGCATAACTTTTGGGTGGGGAAAGTAGCGGTAGTTTTACAGTGGAATTTCAATTCTTTTATGTACATTCTATGCTAGATCAGGTACCAATGGAAAGATACTACTCAAGACAGGTCCAATCTACTCCTAATGTTCAAACTGAAGGTGTTGAAGCTAGTGGGAGTAGACAAGCTCAAACCTTTCCTCCTTCGTCGACAGGGAGCTCCTCAAATACAAGAACCAAATCTTTCAGGTTTAGTCAATCGAACTCCAGAAGAAAGTGAGTTTTTCTCAGCAGAGTCAGATAGAGAGTTTGATGAAAACTCTTTGGTGCTAGATCCGGTATTAAGAACTAAGATATCTAGCTTTCATCCCAATGTCTGTGACCAGGTTAGAAGATTTTATCTTCAAAAAGGTCCTATTCAACCAAAGAGTCATGCTTTTCCTGCCAGAAACTTCAGTGGAAGGCAACGTAGATTCCAGGCTTCTTGGTTTAAGAAGTATAATTGGCTTGAATATAGTGTCTCAAAAGATGCTGCTTGTTTTTTATATTGCTATGTGTTCAGTAAGCGAGGTGGGAGTAATGTGGCTTTATTGGTGAAGGATTTAGAACATGGAATAAATTGAAAGCTTTTGATGATCATGTTGGGGAGCATAACAGCTACCACAATAGAGCTAAAAACAGTTCAGATCTTTTATTGCAGCAAGCAAGAGGAATAGAAGCTGCATTATTTAGACAATCAGATCAAGCCAAAAGAGATTATTGAATTTTTTTGGTTGCTTCACTTGATTGCATAAGGTGGCTAGTAGTGAATGGATTATCATTTCGAGGGCATGATGAATCTGCAACTTCAAGTAACAGAGGTAACTTTCTTCAGCTATTAAGGTGGCTAGTAGTGAATGGATTATCATTTCGAGGGCGTGATGAATCTGCAACTTCAAGTAACAGAGGTAACTTTCTTCAGCTATTAGATTTCCATGCTCTTGGTAGAGAAGATGTGCAAAGAGTGGTTGGGAGGAATGCTCCAAAGAATCTCCAACTCACCTCTCCAAAGATTCAAAGAGATCTTATTCATGCCATGGCTTGTGAAACGACTAAGAAAATCATTGCAGAGATTGGGAATAATTTTTTCTGCATATTGGTTGATGAGACTCGTGATATATCAATGAAAGAGCAGATGGCTATTGTTTTGCGTTATGTGAATTCTTATGGTTGTGTTATGGAAAGATTTCTTTGTACTTCTCATGTGCGAAATACTAAAGTTTTGACATTGAAGAAGGAAATCGAAGCAATGCTTTTGAAACATGGATTGAGCATGTCAATGATAAGGGGACAAGGCTATGATGGAGCTAGCAATATGAAAGGGGAAATAAATGGTTTGAAGACCTTGATCTTGGCTGAAAATTCTTCGGCATATTACATTCACTGCTTTGCTCATCAACTTCAATTAGCACTTGTTGCGGTAGCCGAAAATCACAAAGAAGTTGGTGACTTTTTCACAACAGCCAATAGTGTGACTAGTTTGGTTGCAGGATCTTGCAAACGAGCTGACATGGTTCGAGATAGCCAAACTAGGAAGCTTGCGGAGGCTATAGCTGCTAATGAACAAGAAACTGGGCAAGGACTGAATCAAGAAATGAGTCTCAAAAGGCCAGGTGATACTCGTTGGGGTTCTTATTATGGTGCACTTCTCAATTTTGAGCACTTGTTCTCTACTATTATTAATGTGTTGGAGAGAATCGAGGATGATCCAACTACAGAACCAAAAACAGCGAGTCATGCATGGCGGATGTTGATTACAATTCAAGATTTCAGGTTTGTCTTCATTTTGAAGTTGATGATTGAATTGTTAGCAATTACGAATGAGTTGTCACTAGCATTGCAAAGGAGAGACCAAGACATTGTAAATGCTATGAAACTTGTTCGTGTGGGAAAAACTAGATTACAAGAGATGAGAGATCGAGGATGGGAGTCTCTACTTGAGGATGTTATCTTGTTTTGCACTAAGGAATCTGTTCACGTTCTTGGCATGGATGATGAGTATGTTCTTCCAGGACGATCAAGGCGCAAGGCTCCACAGATCACAAACTTGCATCACTATCAGGTTGAATTGTATTACTCTGTTCTTGATATGCAACTGCAAGAGTTGGACAACCGTTTTGATGAGGTGAATACTAGGTTGTTGACTTGTATGGCTTCTCTTAGCCCGGAGAATGAGTTTGTTGCTTTTGACAGGGAGAAGCTGGTTAGTCTTACTTGATTTTATCCTACAGAGTTTGGTCATCTTTCTGGATCTTTTCTTCTAAGGGACTTTGAGAATTACTATCATTCTGTGAAGAATGATGAGTTATTCCATGGATTAAAAGGAATTGATGAATTGTGTCAGCTGATGGTGAAGACAAAAGTGAATCTATCATATCCATGGGTAAATTTGCTTCTCAAAGTTGTATTGACTTTACCGGTTGCAACTGCAAGTGTTGAAAGAGCCTTTTTCAGCTTTGAGTTACATCAAGAACAAGCTTCGGAATCGACTAGGCGATCAGTTTGTGAATGATTGTCTCGTAGGATATATTGAAAGAGATTTGCTGAATACTGTAGACACGGAGTGTATCTTAGAATATTTTTAGAATATGAAAACACGACGTGGAAATTTGTTGTAACTTGTATTAACCAAATATTTGTGTTGTTGAATATTATTCGGATACTTTTTTATTTAAGAATCATTTTATTTTTTATTTTATTTTGAAACCGGACAGCCCTACTCAAAATTCCTGGGTCCGCCACTGAACCAAAGCACCCAAATTTCCCCTTTTTTTCTTTTCCCAAAACTTGAAGCACCAAATTTCCCTCTTCTTTTTTCTTCTAAAAGTTAAAAAAACCAATATTTCTCACTTATTTCTCTTCCTATAAACCAAACACCAAAACTACCCCTTCTTTATTTTCCAAAAATTTAAGCACCAAATTTCCCTCTTCTTTTTTCCCAAAAATTTGAAAACACCAAAATTTCCTACTTCTTTCTCTTCCTATAAACCAAAGCATCAAAACTCTCCTTGATTTCTTTCTCTTCTTTCTTTATTAAAAATACATAATTTCACCTCAATATCATTTTTGAACTTTCCTTTATAAAATGAAAAAAATAGTTTTACTTATTATTACAGCAAACAAACTTTATTTTAAATTTTTATATAATATATAATATAGTAATTATTCGGGTCAATTGGGCGGGTTACGAGTTAGTGGGTTCTGGCCAATCGGGTTCTGGTCAATCGAGTTACGGGTTTATTCGAGTTGCAGGTCAATCGGGTTCGGATTAATCGGGTTGCGGGTTATTCGCGTTACGGGTTAATCAAGTCACGGGTCGGGCGGGTTGCGGGTCATTGACTTTTATTCAATTCGGGTTGTGGTTGGGTTGCAGGTCAGGTTAGTCAGGCGGGTTAGTCGGGTCGGGTTCTATTTTGACTCCTATACATAGGACTATCAGTTTGGATTCAATTTTTTTTATTTCAACTAAACGAACAGATAAGGTGCTCTTATCGTTTTTTGGTTTCGGTCCCAAACTCTTTGTGCTTATCATTTTTTGTTTGGTCAAAACTGAAAAACTGATAAAAATAAAAATAAAATGACAACCACTACAAAAATACTCATTATTGAATTAAGCCTCATGTTTCATTTTCTTGAAATCAAATTGAACCGTTTAAACCTCTTACCATCTCATTTTTAAGAAAATTAAATTAAACTGCTTAAGCCTCGGGTTTCATTTTCTTGAAATCAAATTGAACCGTTTAAGCCTCTTACCATTTCATATTTAAGAAAAAAATTTACTCGGTTTTATTTTCGGTTCGATTCGATTAAACAAAACAATCTCTCCCAAGTTATACATACAATATCTTTGACCAAATAACAAGGACTTTTCTTTTAATATATTTGAGTGCGTGTGAGGGATGAGGTAAGATGCAAGTTTTTTTATTCTCACAAAAAGACAAAAATTAAAATATTAACTTTGATAAAAAGTAAAAAAGTGTACTAGTTTATAATTATAAAAGAGATGAGATAATAAGTACATCAATGATCAAACCCGTCCTAGTCCTCCTATACATTTTCGACAGAACCCTCCTATGCTTTCACAAAAATAAATTAATACATAAATAACAACCTCTCTTCTGAATTTCCCACTTTATCCAGCTTTTCACTGATCCATCCTCTAATTGCCATCGTTGGCACATCTTGTTGCTACTGCTGCTGATTGCTCAATCTTCTGCTTTCATCATTCCCTCTACTCTCCCGTGCAAAATGTTGCTTCTTCTCATCTTCAATGGATGAAGAACAGGAACCAGTGTTGTTAATTTCATCTTCTTTTCGACTCTCTTTAGACTAGTTTCTTGCATGGTCCACGAAACCGTACCGTACCGTACCAACGGTTCAACCACGAAATACCAGTATCGGAGGCTAGATCGGTAGGCGGTATTTAACGGTCTAACGGTACAACTACGGTAAAACTACTGTTTTATCATAAAATGTCATACCGTTGACTTTTCCGATACGATACCTGGTACGGTTTCATGGACCATGGTTTCTTGAGGGATCTACCTTGCCATCCAAATCGCTCTCCTTTTTCTGTACAAGATGACAAGGGTTCTGAGAAATTAGCATTTCACCATTCAGACTAGGTTTTTTGTGTCCGGGGTCGGTTTTATCATCTTTCTTCACTTGCTCTCCATGGCTGCCACCTAGCTGTACTTTAGCTTCCCCAGCAGCTTCTGATCCGCAGGAGCTCATCTTGTTGCCGCGTCCAACAAGGTTGTGCTTTTGAGTCGGGACCTGTTTTGGTTCAACCAAACTTCTCCTCAAGCTGAGACGACGCACTGCAGTGGCACTACCAAAAGCTTGCCCAACACCTGTTTTAAGTTCCACATATAGTGTTCAATTCAACAGCTTACACTCATTAGGGTTTTGTCAGCCAACTCTTTGTGCAACGAAAATACGATGTACCTATGCTGTTATTCACAAATGTGTTCCTCGGAGAAGGATCTAGAGCCATGTTAATTGCATGAAGAGCTGCCCGCTGTACCTCGGATAGTAGGGAGCCATTGGCCTTGGTTACCAGTTTCAAGTTGGTGTTGCTCTTCTTACGAGTGATAATGCCCCATCTCTGCTTGGGATAAACTAGTTCAATCAGTAAATTAAAAATAAACAAGGAATTATTTATTACAGCAAGATAGGTAACAACTAAAATCAAGCTATATATATCCATCTCCATGACTGTTAAAACTAACCTTTATAAGCCTGGTCAGAGATTAACACAGGAACAAAACACTATGTAGCAACATCTATTGTTATGCCAAAGAAACCTAACTTCTGTACCAAACTGCAGTTGTCAGCAAGATTCAGGGATGAATTCATAATAGTCGATAGATTTCGCACAGCTTCACCTCCACAAACAAGCACTGAAAAGTATTTCAAGTCTCCTACTTAAGCTATGTCTCAAGTATCAATCATTGAAAAACTTTTAATTTTTGCTTTCCTCACTATCTTACATCTTCAAGTTTGTCCATTTTTGTTATAGTTTCAACTATTCAAAGATCCCTGTGCCTCCTGAACCATACTAGGTATGAGATAATGTTAAGAAGTACCTGAGATAATTGTGCAGCAGTTCTATCCCCCATCATGGACTCGCCTTTTACTATATATCCCCAATTACCCTCACCAAATTTCTGAACAGCAGCCTTCAAATGCATATCATCCCCCTCAGACCTTGGTTTTCTTTTCCTTTTGGATTTATTTTTGACAAAATTAGATCCTTGATTGTTGCCAATTTGAGATCCACTACCATCCATACCTTCCAAAACAGTCACTATAGGCATCGGTTGCTTCTGTTCAGAAACATGAGTGGTGATATTCATCCTTAGCATTGCAGCAGGTAGTGAATCTTCTGATGTAGCATGAAATGAATGGCTATTTGGTATGTTAATAGTCAAGGGAACCCCAACAGGAGTTGTGATGTGCATCCTTCGCATTGCAGCAGGTAGTGAATCTTCTGATGTAGCATGAAATGAATGGCTATTTGGTATGTTAGTAGTCAAGGGAGCCTCAAACGTTCCAGCATTTGTTTGATTAGCATCAGAACCAGAAGCCAAGAAAACCTACGTTGACAGATATCCACATGATGAAAAGGAACGACTTCACCTAGTTATGACATAAAACAAAGACATCATAGTGAAGAGAAAACCAGTCCCTAACTGAGTCCACAGAAACCATCACACAGCACATCATATAAAATATTTATTACTAACCTTCACATATGTTGCTGCCTCAGTTGAAGCCTCACTAGTAACTTCAGGGTATGCTTCCAATTGTTCATAACCCAAGTCACTATCATAATCCTGGAAAAGTATGGGCACAGGACAATGAAAATAAGCTAAAAATAGAGAGAGGATGGGTAGGCATGCACAAAAACTTAAATTTTTCCAGAAGCAAACAGATGATGAGAAGCATAACAGAAATACAATAATGTCAAGAAGTACTCAGATATTTTTGAAGCAGTTCTATCCCTGTTGAACTCGCCTTTTGCTATATTTCCCCATCCTGCACTAAACTGAGAACTCTCACCAAGAGGGAGGAAAATTTATCGCAACTGGTTCGTAGCCAAGACTAGGTAGCAACATGCTAAAAAAATCTAGAAAAGGGCTTATACGGATAACCGACTGAAAGCATTGCAATGTCCGGATGGCATCTACCAATGCCTTGTAGAAACCCAGCCAAACAATGACACTCAACCAGACACATGACCTAGGACAGTACACATAATAATGAGGTAAAGAGTGCTAGAGGCAGACAATTAAGAGCAGGCATAAAAATCATACAAAAAACCCCGGGGACCCAAAATTCAAAGGTATCCTGCAGAACCACAGTAGTATATTAACTTCTAATAGTGAAAAGCATACCGTGTGCAGGCGGTGAAAACAATTCGTTGACGTAACATCATTCAGGACAGCTGTTATTCAGTATCAGAAGTCACATAAGATACCACATCTTCAAATGCATATAATTATGCAGTAACTTTAAGAAGCCTACCAGAATCTCTTGCATTTGAAGGAGAGATTCTCAAAGGATTAATTTCAACGATGTTGTCATCAGCAACAGGTTCAATACTCTTAGCCTCGCTCCGTGAAGACAAGGTAACCATGCTCTCTAGCTGAACAAAAAGTTGAAAATTTCCACATGAATTAGTTGTCTAAAGCAATCATAAATTGGACAAAGAAGCTGCAAAAGAACCATTTGATAAGAATTTCACAGGTGAAGGTACCTCATGGCACAGAATTCTCTCCTGCTCGATAAAAGAACTTGCTGTTTGACACCAGTCAATCTTTGAATGGCAGTCATGACTAGTAATCAAGGGATTTCGACGATAAGCAGCATTTGGACATGGCTTCCTTTCTTTGTCATCTAAATCCTTTTGAACCATCTCTGATGCAATTGCACTGTGTTTGTCAACCTGATGATCACATTCAGCAGTATCGACATCAAGAGAGGCCAAATTATAAACCTTTTTCGCTCAAAACATCGGATCCATGAGCAACTTTTTGGAAATAAAAATAAGAACCGAGTACAAGTCATGATTGTACCACTACAACACTACCAGCAGAGACATTAAGAAAGACCACAGAATCTGAAGGATATAAGTGGGGAACTTTTGCGCAAAGGACCACAAAGAAGCATGGTTAGCTTATCCACTAGCTGGAATATCATGATGTAAAGGTAAGCTATAGGCCCTTCACGAAGGATGTAAAATTCTTAACCATTTACTGATTAAGTCATAACCTCTTGTAACCCAGTGCAGAATAATTGAGTCGATGGCACCTGTGAGGCCATGGCTAGGAAGACTGGACGGATACTGTTGACAAGCTAACCCAAAAGTCCCTCAGCCCTGACTAAAATTGGAAGTAACCAAGAACGGACGGAAGCAACTCTAGCAACTGGTTCAGAGGATTCTTTCTGCTAGCTAACTAGAAGTTACCCAAGAGACCCCCAGACCCAGACAGAAGCTCACATGTCATGGCAACTTCATATTAGTGAAAAAAGGAGGTTCCAGAGTAACGCAAAGCTCAAAGGTAGAAAGAAAGCCAGTATTAGAGGTTGCATTTAGGCAGGTTGAGTTGTTGCGTGGGTTAGGGTTTTTGAACCTGCACAGGAATTTGGCATCCGAGGGCTCCGTCAATTGGTCTTCCTTGCCAAAGTTCAAACCCCATCACCATAATTCGGAGGCAACCAAAGATCTGACCCTGTCTCCTGGGACGTGGAGCGGTTCGTACGAGAGTGAAGGAGAAGGCAGCCGTGAAATTAGCGGGAAAATCGGGAGGAAGGTTGACAGATGATAAACGTTTTCCTCCAGTATTATTATTAATTATTTTATAGTAATTTATACTTCTACCACCTAACAAATCTATGCTTCTATTATATATTTTTGGCAAAATACACTTGTATAGTCAAAACGTTCGTGTTTGTGCCAATAATAGCCAAATTTGAAAAAATACCAGTTATAGGCTTATAGCCACATTTTTTAAACTTATTGGACAAATTTAGCCATTTCCGTCAAATACTTTAACACCGTCAACTATTCGTTAACGAAATGAACATTAGGCCGCCGACAACAGACTTTTTCTAAATCCCACACTATTTTTGCTTCGTCTTCCCAAATCCTCCTCATCCAGCTCTTCATCCTCCCAAATCCCTTTCTACGAGCTCTCAATAATGGAAACCCCACCCAGATTCTTAAACCCCATACCCAAATCCTCCACCGCCTTCAACAAACCCAGATTTATTGGCACAAAGATTAGGGTTCATAGATTGGGGTTTTCAAAAAGTTAGAAAGAGAGAGAGAGAGAGAGAGAAATGAATGATTCTTCTTCGTGGAACTGCAAGCGATCAGATGGAGGATTTGACGAAGTTGTCTGGGATTCCGCGACAGCTGCGAGGAGCTTCTCCAAGAAGTTGAAGAAGAGCGATCAGGATGAGAGGATGGAGTTCGTGAAATTGAAATCGAGCTCCACCTGTTGCGGTTGTTGATGATGATGAAACCGTCCTTCCGTGGCGGATTCTTCCTCCTCCCAGTCGATCCCAACCAGCGACGAATCTCCTCATCTGCTACGTAATATGTTGTTGTTGTTCTTGAACTCTCTCGAATCCGTCGGAAGCAAAGAACGAGAAGAAACCTCCGCCTCCACCTGCTCCTTCTCCACCTTCGTCAGTACCCTGGTGGTGGTAATCTTGTGACATAGGATTAGGCCCCGTTTAGTATTGTTGCTTGTTTTTGTTTCCTGTTGTGTTCTGAGAGATTGTGGAAACCGAGAGAAAAAAACATGTTTAGTTGGGTTTTTTATTTTTGTTGTAAAACGGATTTACACAACCAGACCTAAATTAGAGAAACAACAATTTATTGCTTTGGATCTGTTTTTGAAATATGTTTTCCACGGGTTGCACCTCTGATTTCATTAAAACAGCCCACTGTTCGAATCCTACCTCCTACCGAAATTTTTTCCATTTTTTTTTCAACCCCCAAACCCTACTCCGCGATCAGACAGACCCGCCACAACTCTCCCATTCCTTCTTTCATCTCCTTCGTCCTCTCGCGAAGACGAACAAACATAGGAGCTCCAGCCATCGACTACCTCCTCTCCGCCGCACCAGCATCTTCTTCTTCCTCTCACGGGGATGGCCTGCTCCCTTCCATCCAGTCGCCTCCACCATCTTCTTCCTCCTCCCCGTGCCGTCAAGCTCTCGCGCACCTTCAAAATCTCTCCGCGTCAAGCCCTTGCACACCCAGAAGATCTCTCTGTCGAGAAGTCCCCGCACACCCGTGTCGACAAACACGATTCTGATTTCCTTACTGACCAGCATCTCCTCTGTCGGCGCCTGGTCAATCCTTCGGTTCTTTTTATTTTGAATATGCCATTGATTGGTGATGAATGATTCATATGTGAATCGATTGTTTGATTGTTTGTGAATAAGTTATTGGGTGGTGAATTTGTTTGTGAATCTCATATTGAGCAGCCAACATCATCATCTATTGAGCCCAAGTTCAAGGCGGGGGATACTGGTATCTTTTTCTTATGCAGGACAATTTGTGGGTGGTCTCACAATTGTTCTGCAGAAGCTTATGGGACGAAGCAGTGGAGAAGGCAGCAAAAGAAGTTGATGCATACATGGGAAGAGAGTTGATGGTGTGGCTAGCTTGATAATGAGGAACTTGAAGTTTCTTGTTTTTTAATGAAAATTTGAAGATTGATCTGATTGCTATTGGATGTATAGATAGTAGTAGCAATTAAATTGAAAGTTGCAACTAGAGGTATAGTTGTTATGTTTGTAGATTTGCCATTTTTGGCGGGTGAATACACAAGATTTGATTCAAACTAATATTGAAGACATATATTTCTTTCTTTGTTTTTAGTTCTTCAAAAGTAACTAAACGCGTTTTTGTTTCTTGTTGTCAGTTTTTATGATTTTTCAAATTTACCAACTAAACATATTTGTGTTTTATGTTTTTTTCCTGTTGTGTTGTATGTCTGTTGTCAAAACACCAATGCAATCACAACAACAACAAAATGATACTAAACAGGCCCTTAGAGTTGTACTGCTTGTGATGAGAACTGGGAGTAACGATCGGAGAATTGGACGAGAGCTGAGCCTGATTAGCTATTCCCATATCATCCACTCGCTTCCGATCATGGCTGGCCAGGGAAGGGGAATTTCAAATTGTCAGACGGTGGATTTTGAGAGGCAGAGAGGGGTAGAGAGATGGAACAGAGAGATATGTGTGTGTGGAGGATATTTTTTAAAGATTTTTAATTTTCTTTTCCTTTTGTATTTTGTATTTTTGTATTTTTTAAATTGAATCTACGTGGCATTGTTACTGACGAACGTCGCCACGTCAGCGTTTCTGTTAGTACAGTCAGCTTGCTAGATGACACCGTTAAAGAATTGGACGGAAGTAGCTATAAGTGGTATTTTTTCAAAATTGGCTATTATTGGCACAAATGCGGAAGTTTTGGCTACACAAGTGTATTTTGCCTATATTTTTGCACAAACTTACCCCTTTATCGAGTCTCGAATGAGTATTTCTCGAGTCGGATGTCGAGCCGTTCATGAGCGGAATGGTTCATTAACAACCCTGATAGTGAGCACTCGTCCGCCTCCGACCTAGTTACCATGGGGAATCTCCGAATTGACTGGGTATATGTAAAACTCACAAAAAGTTTGCTGGGTATGGGGCTAGTATGATTTTAGCCTCCCCGCCTCATACACATACCCATAGTTGCCCGACCAAGAACATTTCTTCACATATACAAAAATATATAGATCAAATGTAATATATTAATGATAATGAAGGTAACTAAAGAAAATAAATAGTAGAAAGGCAATTGAGTGGTCATCCAAATCAAAACCTAATTCTTTTCCATCAATTCTCCATCCATTCTTTCACTTTTCACTCTTGTTAACCTGATAATTATGTTAGTTACTTGTAAGATAGTAGATGTACCGGAGTTATAGAATAATGATGGCAAAATACACTTGTATAACCATAACTTTCACGTTTGTGACAAATATATCCATAACTATCTGAAAACACAAAATAGCCTAAAAATTGAATGGTCATGTGACAAATCTAGCATTTCCGTTAGAAACTTTAACGGGTTAGAAACTCCGTCAGTTAGGTTAATGTTAGGCTGACTAGGATGCCAAATCATCGCACACATCAGCAACTAGTCAGCATATTGACTCACACAAAACTATACCGCGAATTAGTCCCAACTAGAGCCCAAGTTTTTAAACTCTAGTCGGGTGTAGTATAGAGCAAGTATTTAAATTGTCAACCCGGGCCGGTCCATGTACCCCTACTTCAATCGCTTAAGTTGTTATCTAGCAAAACGATTTTGGGTTTTCAAACTTAGAAAACTACAAACTAAACAAGCAAAGAAAAGTAAATAAAGGAAAACACTAACTAAGGGAGTTCACCCAGGAGTTGCTTCCCCCTAACTAGCTACCATGACTCGTTGGATTGAATGGAGTCGTGTGGCGTAGGTGGTTGTGAACCGCGGGGGTGAGAAACTAGTGGTTGATTTGTCACGGAATCAATTCACTAGTGATCGATGTGTCACGGGATTTATCCACTCACCAAGTCTAGGGGAACCACTAGGAGGAGCAACTAGTGATCCATTCGTCACGGGATGGATTCACTAGAGATCGATTTGTCACGGGATCGATCCTCTCACTCAGTCTCTAGTGGTTTCCTAGGTCTCTCCCTCAAACCGGAGTTTGAGCGGCTTAATCACAACCAACCTAGATGCAAACTTGAGTCAAGGAGGATGCTCATATCTAACCTAGATAGTAGGCACAATGTGCCCAGGAAAACCAAGCTTGTCAAGCCTACCTAAAAAGGTGTGGTTTTCCTCTAATCTAGATTAGGCAAGCACACAAGATTTGGAAAGCACCACTAAGCACAATCACCATGAAAACACCTCTAATACTCAAATTGATGCAACCCATACGAAATCATTCAATCTAAACAAGTAATTACAAAGTATTAGTAGGGATCTACAACACACAAGAGAAAAGAGTGAGTTTCTAGAGAGAGAGAGAGAGGGATTGCAAATTTGAGCTCAAGATCTTCTTCTTCTAGGCTTGAATCCTTATCTTCAAGATCCACCCAAGCCTTCAATGATGCTCCAGGATCACCTAGCACTCTCTCTCTCCCACTAGAACTCCCCTTTGGCGTTTTTGGGCAAACCCTAGAGAGGGAATTAAATTTCTCTCCAAAAACCAGCTCCCCTTTCTCTCTCCCCTCTGTTGTCTTCATATTTGCCTGAAAGTGAGTAGTTCACGGACACGTTGGCCAGTTCACAGCCGTGAACACCTAAATGCGTCCGTGAACTCAACCATCTCCAAAACGCACCGCTTCACTCTCCTGAGTTCAGAGTTAATGACCTTAGGTCATAGTCTTACCGACCGTGAACTTGCATGGCGTCAGTAACCTCTGAAACCTCGCTGGACTGCTCGATGTTCACGGTTTGTGGCTCCAGTTCACGGTCTTAGGAGACCGTGAACTCCCTTGTTTGACGGTGAACTACGGCTGCTTCCTGGATGCCTGCACTTCACTGTCACGGCTTCAGACCTTTCTTCTGTTTTTTGCGCTTTTTTACCTCCAATTATCCCGAAACTCGTCTTCAACCCTTCCACACGTGCTAGAACCTGAAATGTATCAAAACAAGCACAACCTAGCGTGAAATATGTCGAGGGACGATGAAATTCTAAGCTAAACGAATAAGAAATGAGGGGTAAAATTATACATTTGGGCCCGAATCACATATGATTGCCACATCATTTTGATTGATTAAAA